ACGTAAGAGAAAGTAGGAAATAAGGGGCAAACTTATTGGTCGGTCGATCTGCCCCCAACAAACGCCAAGATCTACAGGCGAGTGCCATCATCAGAGAAGAACGTGCAGGTGACGCTACCTTTGTAAAACAAGAAAACTTAAACGCACCGCCGTGGACTTGTCTTGGATCTCAGTGGAGAGGGTGCTCCACCTGTGGATTGCGTTTCCCGGCATCAGAGAGTTGTTGTTAACCGCCGGATCCGGCGCGCCGACGAGGTGCTTTGAAAGCCTTTGTTAAACCAATGCATTTTTAAAATCGTTATCCGTGTGATTCACAAAAGCAGCAGCAGCAGCAACGTTTTGCAAAGTCTAGGGCGAGCCCTAAAGCAGCGCGTTTGCTCCGGAAAGGAGAAGCAGGGGGTGGCCAGGGGACATTCCAGAGAGATTGAGTCCTCCGGCCGGTCGGCTCCCTCCCTCCCTCCTTCACCCCAGCGGGGTCTCCACTGGGTGGCTACGGCCCCCTCGCCTGTCCTTCCGCCCCCCACAGCCTCGTGCGCAGCCTCCTCCTCCCCTTCCCCCTCCCTTCTTGTTGCCACGTCCCCGCGGGAAGGAGCCAATGGGCGGGCTCCCCCAGGTGTGTCTCTTACCTGCACCACGTGGTGGAGGGAGGAGTGGGCAGGTAGAACCACATCCCCAAACAGCCCAGCGCGCAGCCATTGCGTGCCTCCTAGGGGTGGAACCCGACGTAAGCTTCGGAATTGGCTCCCGTGTAATTAACCGTCCTCCCCAGGGGAGGGGAAAAAGGGGGGGCCATTGCGGGGCCTGCGTCTCTTCCCCCTGAAACGAGGGCCAGGGCGAGTTGGGGTGGCTGTCGGTGTGGGGCTTGGGAAGAGGGGTCTGGGTTTTGTGGGGACTTCTCCTCCTCGCGCCCTCCACCTGAAGAGGGCTTAGGTGTGGCTGGCGGGGTGGCGCTCGGCTCTCCCTTTCGGCCCAGGGTGGTGAAGGTGGTGTCTCGCCCACCCCGGTTCCCTCCGCGGGCTTCGGTCGCGTCAGCATGACGACGTCTCCCGACTACCTGGTCGTCCTCTTCGGGACCACCGCCGGGGCGAACGGGGCTCGGCTGGGCTCCGACGAGCGAGAGCTGATCCAGCTCCTGTGGACGGTGGTGGATCTGACCAATAAGAAGGTACCTCGCTTTCCTTTTTCTTAAGCTTTGGGGGAGGGGGGTTATTGTGAGAACCCGTGGGGGTGAACTTCCCCGTCCTCCCTAGCAGCTCCCTAAACGGGTTAGAGTCGGAGGCTGCGATCCACAGGGCAAGCTCACTCCCAGGTCTTGACTTCACTTCAAAGGGACTGACTTTTTTGGGGGGGGGGGGGCAGAGCCTGTCTGGAATGGGATGGTGTCGAAAAGTTACCATTACCGCGGGTAGGGTGAGGAAATGTGGTGAAACTAGGATAAGTATCTAGAGTGAAACTCTTTCAAGGTAATATTGCGAGTGTTCAAGGCAAACAGCCAGGAGTGACATAACTGGAGTCACCAACGAGTCTTGAAAGCATGGAGTCCCGACTCCGAATTCTGGCTGGGCCGTGTAAACGCTTCGTGCCGCTCCAGTTACTGTTTCTGCAAGTTTCTTTGTGGGGGGAAAAAGTTTTGACGGGTGGAGCTCGCCCGAAGTCCTGAGGATGGGTGGGGCAGGCTCATCAAACCAGTTCTAGACGTCTACTCCGAAATGAGCCCCTCCGTGCTGAACGGGGCGGGGGGAGCTCTTTACTCCTGCCTAAGCGCTCAGAGGGTCGCAGCCTGAAGCGACCCCTGGCTATTGGAGGCCCCTTGCGCCCCCCCCCAACACACGCACACCTGCCTTCAGCCGAGAGCCGGCGGAAGGACTCACTTCACTTCTCGCTCTTCTTACTCGCTTCCCCTTTAATTCCCCGGAGGTGGGAAGTCTTCACGAAGTCCTCATCGGGCCCGAGCACTTAGAGCTGACCAAGGAATGTAAGGAAGAAACCTTTCTCTCGGAGGAGAGCCTGAGGCTCGCCCCGCCGCTGGAGCAAGCTCTGAGACAGGTAAACCACCAGCAACGGGGAGTGGGGGTGGGTGGGGGTGTCCAGCTCCGCCTTTGGGAAGTGGATCCAATCTGGGGGGGGGAGGGGGCGGGGAGTTGGAGCAAGAGGGAACCCAGTCCCTGAGAAAGCTGCCGGCTAAATGATCTCTTCCAGAACCCACCTCCAGCCGACACAGCCGGTAGCTTCAGCTCTTGTGGGAATCCGACCTGTGGAAGGAGTCCTTGGGTTGGGTTTGTTGTGGGAGGGTGACAGGGAGAGCTGAGTCACACCGAAGAAGAAGCAGCCGCCAGTGGAGCCGAATTACTTTTCCTGGTGTCACCATCCTTGTGGGCTTGAGGAAGAAAGAGCATGTGAGCATTTTCATGTGTGTCTCTTTTTCTAGCCTCCTCCCAGCGCCGGGAGGGTTAACTGAGTTACGATCTAGTCATGGAAGACAGCAGGATAGTTCTTACTATGTAGTGCTATAAGTGCTACAGCACAATATCTATCCGTCTGTCTATCCTGTGTCTGAGACTAGTGTAGTGCAGTGGCTGACGTGTTAGCCTAGATCTCAAGAGAGCTGAGTCTGACTCTCTATTGGGACTTGAAACTCACTGAGTGAACTTGGAGTAGTAGCACACTCTCAGCCAGACCTACCTCCTAGGGTGGTTTTGAGAATAAAGTGAAGACCAGGAGTCTGTCTTGATCCTGTCTTAGGAAAGGTGCTACATAAATGTAGCCAATATATATGAACAAATAAACTTGCTAATGAAGAGAATAATTCTGTTGGAGCTTAAAGATTATTTTGATTCCAGCAAGAGGTGCTGTGGTTTACAGCCCACTTCTTCAAAGATGTACAGATTCAGACATGCATACACACTGGATATGGGAGGGGTGTTTCTCTGAGCAAATAAATTATAATAGCCCATGAAAGGTCATGATGCAATACCTCTGTTACCCCTAAAGATGCCTCATGAGCCTACTGCTTTGTTGCAATAGACTGATGCAGCTGGAAATGCCAAATAAAGATGCATTCTATGGACTGTTCCACTGAAATTGGAGGTGCTTCCTCTCTGGGGGACAAACAGCTTCCAGATGTTGTTGGACTATGATGTTCCTCATCATTGATTTTGTGGGCAGGGGCTAATAATAGCAGGCTTGGTCCAAATACATCAGGATCACAGGTTGCCTTCCTTAGAAAAGAAAGCCCTGGTAGTGAGGTGGATGAAGCTTTATCTGCTATTTTTCCCCCAAACTTGCAGATTCTCCTTTTTATCTTCTGTCTTGCTTCTCCTATTCCCCCCCCCCATTTCTTCCCATTTTAAAAAAAGCTGGCTACAGAAAAGGCTTGCAAAGTAGTGTAATTAATTAGGCTTCTATAAAGAGTTCAGGTTTTCTCTTGAAAACTGTGGGTCCTTTCTACCCTGGGAACCATCAAGGAGCAAGAAAACGGGACACACTGTTAACACACGAAGGGCTGTTTTCTTCAGCTGCTTGTGTAAGGAACTGATGGTTGACTTGGTTGTAAATTTATGTAATGGGGAGAATGTGTTGGGCGTGACTCTCCCTATCACGATGTCTGAAATTTAGCAAAAATGACAATAACAAACGTGAATTGCTGGGTGGTGGGTTCATGATAACCCAACAGGCTTTTCCATATAAGTGTTTTTAGAAGGAATTTGGTTCAATAAATAATCATGGAGATCTAGTTGGCTGGGGAAGACCTTTGCAATGTTAGCAAATAAGTGTCTGTGGATCTTTTTGCAGTAAAATATTATAGCAAAAATAAAACTGCTCAGCTTGAATATTCTGAAAACTATGAAGGCCCATTGGGAGTTGATCACTTATTTATTTAAAATATTTGTATCCCGCCTTTCTTCTTAAAAAGGACCCATGGTGGCTTACATATTTAAAAGGACAATATTTAAAAACTTAAAACAGTAACTATGCAAGTATAAAAACAGAATTAAATAAGCATTATATTAAAAACAGTAAGTATGCAAGTATTAAAACAGAATAAGCATTATATTAAAAACAGTAAAGAAAGTCAATACTAAAACATATTTAAAATACCATATACACCACATTTAAAATATCATTTACACACCTTGAAATGATTCCTGCTGCTCTTCTGAAAATGGGCTTTACATTTTAATGGAGCCTTCCGTAGTCACAGAGCACATGACACACAATTAAACTAACTGCAACAACCCTGTAAGGTGATCTACTGTGATATTGTTCCCCATGGATTCCTAGTTCATTGCTAGAGTGAAAAGAGGAAGTTGGTGTGGTAGAATAGTTAAGAGTCTCAGAATGTAAGTGGGGAGATCTGAGTTCAAATCCCCAAACAGCCATGTGTAACTAGTAGCCAGTCAGTCTTTCTCAGCCCATCACAGGTTTGTTCTGAGGATAATATGGGGAGAAAAATTTGAAGTTTTGGGGGACTGTGAAAACCTTTGAGAATACATGGGGAGAAACTGTTTGCTAGCCTGAGCTTCTTGGAAGAGAGGAAAGACAGCAATGCCATAAGTGCCTACAAGTAAAAAAAAAACAGTATCTAACAAAAGCAAGTACCCTTGCAACAGGCCAGAAGCTGGCTGAAGTACAACTAGTCAATATGGGATATTGTTGCACCTATAAAATTCCTAGAAAAATCAGGACAAGGCTGTATGGTCCTCAAAACAATGCAAAAGCAGGAACAGGAATGATAATTTGTGAGGTACTGATTTATAAGCAACCTTCGCGACTTTATACATTTTATTTTTTTAAATCTTGCCTTCCAGTTACAGACAGTATTTCCAATTTAGACAGTTTATACATCCCATTGAAATTGTACTGAAATGACCGAATATTGCAAAATATGCTGTCATATTATAAAAAGACCTTTTTTGCGTGTAACTTTTAGTTCAACCAGTCTGTCAGCAATGAGTTAAATATTGGCGTGGGTACCTCGTTCTGTCTCTGCACTGATGGGCAGCTTCATCTCCGGCAAGTTCTGCATCCGGAAGCTTCCAAAAAGGTAAGAGAACTACAATTCCTTTTGTTCTGCCCTTACCTCCAGCTGAATGTGCTATTCAAAATAGTAATGAGCTGAACCGTTGATGTTTCTTTTTGCCTACAACTCCCACAGTTCCTCCAGCCCACTGGCTTGGCTGACCAGAGAATTCTGGGAATTGTAGGCCATGCTGACTTGAGACTGTTGTAGAACATGTCTACTCCGTGGTACTATGTCTTTTTCCCCCTTAAAATCTCAGATGTTTGTGGTCACAGTTCCTCCTGTCAGTTGTCACTAGCAGCAAATCAATGCTAATTAAAGCCTTCCTTTTATGATTTTTGGGGTGCATATGGCATCGTGGCATTGTGTACAAGTTGTACGCATCCTGGAGTATCTTTTAGTCAGTGGCCATTTGCTGTTGTTGATGACATCATACCTATTGAGCATGTGCAACAAGATTTCACCCAGGGTGTTGTGCATATAAATGTTATAAGTAAATGGTAATTAAGACTACTTCCTAAGTGTTGCTTGTGATACTACCATTTCTGTATCGGGAATGCTCACAACAATCTGTCCAAGGAATATGTAATGCTGTACATACCTTGCATTGTCACATGAGAAACAGATTTTTCTTTAGCTATAGCTGATGCTTGTCATTGGTATTTTATCATTCATCTTTTGGGAGAGATTACATCTGCACTCCCCACCTTCTAATTGTGATGTTGTAGGTCTTGAAATTCTGGTAGTGAACTGTGTTTGTTCTCCACTTGTGCTTAGCACAGCAAACATGGTATTTAATGTCGCAGTTGACATGAAAGTAATAGAAATATAGGTGCACTTTGGATCTGATTGGTACAGGAGTACTGCTTGTTTTACAAAACAGCCTGAAAACAGCGTGTTTGCAAATTCAGTCTTCCTCAACTTCATTACAAAGAGAATATTTCTTTCTTAGTGCAGTGGTCCTCAACAGATATTGCTGGACTTCTGCTTCCTGAAGCCCCAGCCAACATGGTTAGTGGTCTGGGGTTTTGGCAGCTGAAGTCAAACAATATCCGGACCTCCTTCCCAAGTGAGAGCTGCTGCTCCGTTGGCTGCATGTGCCATTTCTTTACTAAGAATTAAAATGTGATTTGATTGTCCTAATTCTTTTAAAAGGTTCCCAATGTGGTGTACTGGATAAAGTGATAGACTAGGAGCCTGGGTTCAAATGCCCACTTGGCTATGGAAACTCATGGGGAGTGGGGGCGAGAAATCATAAAAACTCTTAAATATCCCACTTAGCTTGAAAGCCCTGTTAGAGTTGCTAATAACTTGCTATTGATTGTTTGTTACTTGACAATACATAATATAATGAATTATTTTAAAAGACACACAGTGGTGCCTCATTTAGCGATTGCCTCATTTAACGATGTATTTGCTTAGCAATGAGGTTTTTGGAGCGATCTTGCGCTCCGTTTAGCGATGTTTCCAATGGGGAAATTTCGCATAGCGATGTTCGGGATCTTGCCTCGCTTAGCAATGACAGTTTAGGTCCCCCTGTTTCGCTTAGCGATGTCCGTTTTCGCTATTTTAAGTTCAGTGCATTCCAATGGGGGGGAGGGGGAAAATTCACCGAAAATTAACGAAGAGTCAGAACAAAGCCAAATTAAGTTTGCAAAGTTTTTACAGGGTGCACTAATGATTCCAAGCATTTAAAACAGTTTTTGAACATTTTAAGACACTTTAAAAATAGCGAAAACAGACCTGTCAAAACCATTGAAATGCATTGAAACCTATTCAATGCATTCCAATGGGGGAACGGCGTTTCGGTCAGCGATGTTTCCTATGGCGATTTTCGCTTAAGGACGGTAATCCGTTCCCATTTGAATGGACTATCCGGTTTTCAATGCATTCCTATGGGAAATGGTGTTTTGCTTAGCGATGTTTTCCCATAGTGATGTTTTTTTGGGAACCAATTAACATCGTTAAGCGAGGCACCACTGTATTTCCATGTGTGTCACTGAAAAAAAGAACTCATGCAACAGAGGAGTCTGCTCTCCAACGATAAAATACTACTATGTGGTTTTGTTATTCTTCCAAAAGCTGAAATTGATATAGATTAGGAACATGGCTTTCTAAACTAAAATACAGCAAACCATGATGCACTCCTGGATTTAAAACAACATGAAACGAAAGGGCAGAAAGGATTTTAATAGCATTCAGTTGCAGTGCGTTGTATTTAATTTGCTAGTTGTTCCTTTTTCTCATGAGTAATTCAGGCTGTTCCAATGTTGCATACTCTAACAATGTCTTTATGTGGTGCATCTACCTCTCTGTTAAGTGTATATTGCAAACTGTCCACTTTATTGCCATGAGGAGAATTGGCACAGTTTACCTGGCACTGACTAAACCTTTATTTAAATGAGATAAGTGGTTCAGGTGGGACAATTGCATCTAAACTCTATATCGAAACTCTTTTTATAATGGTGCATATTTGAAAAGGAGTATATTTTGCATGTTGGCCTTTTTGCTGAGAGTAATCTATGCTGTTGTCTGGGAAGAGAGTGCTGTATGAATCGCCCAGATCCTGTGTTATTCCCTTTTAAATGGTTGTTTTTTGCTTTGTTTTGGTAAAATCCGCTTTGGTTCTTTTAGTCTGAATGCCTGAAAAGTAGATTGTTCATGAAAACAGATCCCAGAAGGGTACGGGTTGCTGCTGTAACTCAGCTGTCATTTGTGGTTTTGTAGGCTAAAACACTGTGTTCTTGTACCTTGTTTGTAAAACTATTTGAATGATTGGCAAATCACTTATAAACGAGCTCACTGAGCATACTTTTATTATGAAATGAAGACCGCTGTTACCTCAGCTTACTAGAATTAACCTGTTGCCTTGCAGAATATCTTGTTGCCAGAATGTTTCTACTCATTTTTTGATCTGAGGAAGGAATTTAAGAAGTGTTGTCCCGATTCACCTGAAATAGACAAATTGGATGCTGAAGCCATGGCAGAGTGTATCCTTTAAAAAATTATATAAACATATAGTTTTCAGAATAGTATGATGATTCTTGCTATTCATTATTTATTATATTTTTTGCACTGTTTCTGTTATTGATTATGTCATAAGGCTTTTGTGTTATTTTAATGAATATATGTTTGTTGGAAGCCGCCCAGAGTGGTAGAATATACCAGATG